AATGACATTTGTTTTGTTGATGATTTTGTTGATGACACAGTCACTTCTATAAGCCACTTTAGAAAGCTGGGTGCATGTCCGCCTCTCTCCAGTGACTGGATATTACCTTCTATGGCCACTTTGGTTTGGAATATGATAGAGATCAGACACTTTTTTTTTCTGCAAAAGCACCTGCCTATGTGTGCAATGCCTGTCTGTTGCTTATTCAGCTTTATGCAGGTTTCTTAAATACATGGGTTTAGTGCTTTTTATATTTGTGGGTTCAGCGCTTTTTAAAACAGATTAGAACTGCTTGTTGAAAACATAGCTTTAGCTTTAGTTTGAAAGAATGTTGGTTTTGTGTTTAAAAACAGGACTACGCCTCCTTGGAAAAAGCATTAGTCCTGTGTTTCACGGAGAATTGATTTTTAAATCAGGGAAGAAAGTCCGGTTCTCCCAGCTTTGTGTTGCTGATTCTATCCAAAATGTGTGTCTTACACATGTGTGCTGCTTCTGCCAGCAATGGGTGTACTGTCTGCTGTTTGTATTATTTTGAGTAGGGAGCTGCCATTTTGGCCTCCTTCTATGCCATTTTGCCTACTTACCAGCTTAGGAGATATGGGAACTGTGGGAAAAAAAGAGTTCTGTCTGTTTCACTTTTAGCCCACGTGAAGGTCAAAGGTGGGACAAAGGGACATGTGGTGACACAGAAGGAGCCCTCAATGCTCCTTGCTACTTGTCCATCATTCCAGTGATCTGTCATGATAGCTATTTTTGAACAAGGGTCTACCACCCTTCTGGAAGAACATTTAATCCATACCTCCAAATAGCCTACCTAACAGGTTGATGGACTAAGGAAGGGATATCAGATGAAATAAAGGGAGTTTTGTGCAATGAACCAGGAACCATCAGTTTTCCTTCATATTGCATTCCTCCCCACCAATCTGTAAGCTGGGCTATGTTTGGACATAGATTTAATACTCTCCCAGAAAAAGAGTAGACCTTTGTCTACTGAGCTTGAGCAATAGGTCATTGGTACAGAGACCTTCACACCAATGACCTATCACTTAGGCAACTTAAAAGGTGACTAAAGCTTCCAAACCAATCCTTCCCCTCTCATGTAGCCTCTTGGGTTGCCCCCTAAGCATGGTTACACACAGTGGCGGGATTAAAATATGTGAACAACTGGTTGTCTGTGTAGATGCCGCTTCCAGAAGTCCATTCTGGGCCTGGGCAACAAAACATTAGCTGGGCAACAAAACATCTGCCAAAGTGGTGCAAACTGGCTGAATCCCACCACTGGTTACACACATTAAGGACACATCAAGGACACTATTCTTTCTTCCACCAGTTGGTGACAAGAGGTGGGAGGGGAAACACATCCAGGAGAACTACTAATCACTGCACCTGAATTGTCCTGCATAAAAACTATAAAGGCAGCTCCACTCACTGTCTCAGCACTAAGGCAGAAAAGGGTTCAGCCACTGGGGCAGTTTAATTTATGCCGGCATGTTTTCTCCCAGTTCAAGGACTAGAGGATAGATATCAGTACAGTCATAAGAAAGAGCCTCAGAAATATGTATTTCCTGTCCTCAAAGTTTGAAAAGTTGACAAACAACTCTTTAGTTTTAGAACATTCTAACTGATTCTTCCAGATCCCTAACCATGAAAAGGGTTTGCTTCATTATCCTGTATCTGGATGTTTTCTTCAAATGTTATCAGTGAAGCATAAGGAAATAGACAGCTTTGGAAATGTTTGTTTTCAGCAGCATACTGAATTATCTCTTTCTAAGCAGAAAACATCCCAGGAGACTAATCATCCCCAGTTCTTTCTGCTGTGTTGTTCATATACTGTATTATAAAGCTGATCCCGCATGGCAGTTCTGGATCTGGTTTTATGATATGCAAGTGAAATCTCCAAGAAAATATTACAATCTGTATCTACAATACAGATGTGCCTTCTTCCAAGGTGGTCTCTTCCATTATAGTATCCCCTTCCTAACCCATCTCTACTTCATAACCACTAAGCATGTTTTTTCCGTCCTCCCTAAAAATTCCTTGTATAAATGCGGTGTGGTTTTTGTACTTCTGCAGGTCTCATAATTTTCCTCAAGCCTGCTGATATTTCCCAAGTGTGTGAGAAATGCCACTTTGGCTACATATGGAATGGGAGACAGAAAATGATCACATGGGAGAACAAACAGTAGAAAAAAAAAGAGCTACAAAGGAACTATTGGATCTGTGGAATTTAATTGCCAGTTATATTTTTTTCAATATAGAAGTGTTGGTGATCTAGAAGAGGCAAAAATAACCACTGGGTTATTTTATTGCTGATCATGGGTTGCTTTTCGGACCCTTTCTTGGTCATTTGCACCATTTCTTTTTGCTGCAAATGTTACTGAATAGTTTCCCCCTTTTTTCCTATAATTCTAGAATACACCCATAAGACAAAAATAAGAATATTTTTTCCTGACTAGACTGCAGACTCTCAGGAACAATCTATCAAGTCCATATCTGGAGAGTGGGCAGAACCAATGCTAGATTTATTTAAGAGCAGTGCTTTTTTTCTAAAAAAAAAAAAATGGTGCCGGAACTCACACACGTCATACAATCCGCCTTGCCTACCCTACAAGGTTCCATCCAAAAAAGATGCTGGAACTCCGTTCTGGGCATTCTATGAGAAAAAAAGCCCTGTTTAAGAGTGAAGTTAAAACTAGGCAATGTATCTTCATCCTCTTTTCCATCTCTCTGTCTGATTTTCACTCTTCACTTCTCTCTTATCTTTTTCCTTTCTTCCTTTTATCCTTTAGACCCAGTTTTGGGGGATGTACAAGTGCCCAACTAATTTTGCAGAATCTTTACAAAACTAGCTTTTCTTGCTCTTTTCCCAACTGTCTGCTCCTTTCACATATTCAGATATTGTATCTTTCTACCCACATACCAATCATAGACATTATATTAGAGTTCAGATACGTAAAAGGAAAAATGTTTAGGAGCTGTTTCCATTGCTACAAAAAACTAGGGCCAGAAATAGGCTTAGTGGGTATAAATTGCAGCCACCTGGGTTTTGTTTAACTATAAGGGAAAACATTCTAAAGGTAAGATCTGCACAGCAGTGGAACAGTCTGTCTATTAAGGTTATGGTTTTCTCATTCTCCATCTCTGGAGGTTTTAAAGAAGAAGCTAGACAACTGCCTCTCATAGATAGTTTAATTAATTTTCCTGCAAACTGCAGAGGGTTGGCCTATATGATGCTTGTGGTCCCTTCCAACTCCATGATTGTATGATCAGACAAATACAAGGACAGACAGATGTAATCCATATAAAGCCCTGAGTGGATGCTTCAGTTCAGTTGACCCTTATGTAATAAAGCCATGCTCTACTTCCAGTATTACATCAGAGCCCCCCTAATACAGGGAATCTACATTTTGCTGGCCTTGACAAAACAAAGTGGTCAGCATTGAGAAGTGTGTTTTACTGATGCAAAACTATCATAATGCAAATTATACTACCGTATATTATAATCAATATATCAATTGCACCCATTCCACAGCCTAAAATTATAGAAAAACATTATGTTGGGATAAATTACAACTATTGCCCTGAGGGTACCAGTCAGTCCCCTTTAAGGAGGACTTGCAAAATCATGGTTTGGATGTTACAACATCCTTCTCCTGTGTCTTTAAATAATTTTCTTCTGACAATGTAGGCAATTGAAGAAAGGCTGACAATCTTATAATAAACACAAAGCTGTGTGAGAAGAGGCATTTGAATGTTAAACTATTTAGGATTTAGAGTAAATAATATTTATACTTTGAAATGAAGTCACAAGGGAGAAGAAGTAAATGAGAAGTAAATTGCAGATGTGATGCATTTGATTATACTTGCCAGAATTCCAGAAACCATGCTCTTACATTTTCAAATTATTGTCAAGGCCCACAGAGAGCATCCTGCAGGAAGCCAGCTGGGAAATTATTAGAGCATGGATGACTGTTGCAAAATTATTCCTGCCCAGGGTTGGCTATAATCGGATAAACCAGGCAACTTTAATGAAAGCATTTAACACTGCTGAGGCAACCTGGTTCTCTGGAAACAAAGCTGAGCCTAGAAATAGCTCCCAGCTGTGGACCTGCTTTCTTAGAAGTAATACAACTTGTCCAAAATAGATTGACACTCTCTCTCTCTCTCTCTCTCTCTCTCTCTCTCTCTCTCTCTCTCTCTCTCTCTCTCTCTGTGTGTGTGTGTGTGTGTGTGTGTGTGTGTACACAGATACATACACTCCAAGCTTCATTTAACCATAGAACCTCTGCCTTCTTACCTTATCCAGGCATCTTCACATCTCCCTTTATTCAGATAATAGAGAGAAATGGTATTTGAAAGGTATACACTCTGAATAGCATGGAAATTTGCCCAAGAGTTGATGAGCAATAACTCCACAATAACTGTTTTCGTTGCTGAATGAAATATTGGGATACCCTTCATGCTGTTCCTTGCTAAACCCTTTGAAGTGATCCAGAAGAATGGAGAATTAAAGCAGCCAATCATCATCCTAATGCCAGGGCAAAATAGGTGCTAGTTTGTTCTGATTATTCTCAGTGCTGGCACTTGTTCAATCTACTCCTATGGACTTACTTCCCATAGGAGGAGAATTATTCAATTAATATGTGAATGCATCCGAGAAACTATTCACCCATTCACGAACAATTCCTGTCATTTTTTTTATCATCCTGTTGCCACCTACAATTATCCTCCAGTGTTTCAGAAACATTTGATCATTTGCCATAAGATTTAGTCCAAGAATAAATCTGAGTGCAATAGCAAATTTGATGGCATTCAGCTTTGGAAATATTTCTCAGTGGTACAGTTAATTTACTGATGGGTTCTTCATGTTGCTTTCCTAAACATCAAAGGTAATTTCTGTCTATGAGAAAATTTATGTACAATTCCTCTATTAGGAAACCAAAGCCCATGTGACACACAGCCCTTTCATGCCTGGACTTCCCAAGTCTTAAGATAGCAGCCATACTTTCAAAGCTTTATTTACATCAGTTTTAGTTCACGTTGCAACACCAGATCCTACCAATGACAAGAGTTAATGAAGACTGAATAGTTGAAGCTCATGCAACTACCTTTGTTGTAAAATGTATTTAAGGATCTTGTGACGTAGTACCCAGAAATAAAAAGGGGTCAGACAGCAGGTAGGCTCTGTATTGTGGGCTGCACTATGAATGCAACTGTGTCATGAGGAAAGTCATCCCAAAAGCAGCGCTGTAAAAGTTTGCAGAAGATTTGGATAGGCGTTAGGACTGGACTGTAGAGTTGAGCAGATCTTATTACTCGCCTTCAAACATCTTCTTCCTGCCCTCCATTCCAGACTTTTCCTCAATGTTTTTCCTCCAGTCACCCACATCACGCAGGTCCTTCTCCTATGGGAAGACAGGAGATAAAATGTTATGCTTGGATAGTGCCTTTGACAGGGCTCATGCAGGGGGCAACCCTTGCCTTATTGATATGATGTCTCCCTGGGGAGAAAAACCCTCTGTTCACTCATAGATGACCGTCAAATGTGCTAATATTTATTGTGGTTGTTCACAAGTTTTCATCAAGAAAGCTGGAAGCACACATTCCAAAAGAGTGAAATGTTCAACAGACAGTAAATTGGAAAGAAATTAAAACTGCCTATCCTGCTGAGAACTCTATAGTATTTTGGATATATTACAGTCAGAAAGCCCATTCTTACCATCACTGACTGCATTTACAAAATTTAATAAATCATAGTTTGTTTAATGAAACACCATGGTTCATACAATGCACTAAACTATATATTATTCTTTACATTCCACAATGGTTGAGTTTGCGCATTATGATGGTAAAGCTGCAAGCTGAATGTCTCATCTTCCAGTTCTCTTATAACACCATGTTTGGAATCTTCACTATTAGAAGTCTTTAAAAACTATTCAATATCTACTGTATCTCTCTCTCTCAGTGTCTCTCTGTCTCTCTCTCTCTGTCTCTCTCTCTGTGTGTGTCTCTGTCTCTCTCTGTCTTTCTCTCTTTCTCTCTCTCTCCATCCATCATCTATCATCTATGTCCATCTATAATCTAATGTCACTGTGTTCAATATGCTATGACACAATTTGTACCTTTTGCCACTCTAGAAATCTGCATGACAAGCTTTCTGGATGAAATCTGGAAAACTCATAAGGAGACTTTCTTGGAAGGAAGAATCTATCAGTTCTGATTGAACGTGAAACAATTATTAATATCTAATTTTATTCTGTGTTTCACTTATCGACTATCATATTTTAATAATATTATCCTTCTAGCAGGAAGCCCTAAATGACAATTAGGCAGAAGGAGGAGGTGATTTTTTTAAAAAAAATGATTATATTAACTATGACCTCTATCTTAAATGATAAGTCATTTAGTATATTGTTAAGTATTTCATTTTATTTGCAGGTCAGCAAATATAATCAAATACCTAACAAGCATGATTGCCTTACTTAGACAACATAGGATTCTACTTTGACCTTGATTTGAAAGCCTTTCCTGATTTAATGCATATCTAACTATAGCACACAGTGCATTCATTCAGTATTGGAATGTAGAACATAGAATACAAAGATTGGAAGGGATCTTGGAGGTTTTCTAGTCTGACCCTCTGCCCACGGCATGAGACCCTATACCTTTCTGTACAAATGGCTGTCCAATCTCTTCTTGAAAACCTCCAGTGAAAACCCCCACAAATTCTGGAACTTCTGGAAGCAAACAGTTCCATTAATTAATTGTCAGGAAATTTCTCCTTAGTTCTAGGTTGGATCTCTCCTTAATCATCTTCCACTTGTCCTGCCCTCAGGTGCTTTGGAGAATAGGTTGACACCCCCCCCCCTCTTCTCTGTGACAGTCCCTCAAGTTGTGGAAGACAGCTACCACATCACTCTGATTCCTTCTCTTTATTACAGACCCAGTTCCCTCAAATATTAGACTGAACAGCCAAGGGTAAATATTGAGGATGATAGATGGCTGAGCACAAGTTTAACATACCCAAGCCATCAAGTTATTTGGTGGTTTGCAGTGAAATTCTTGAGAAATGCATTTAGTTCAAAAGCCAAGCCACAAAAACTACTACTTTTCAGTTATCTAGGTACCTTTTCAGTGTCTTCCTTCTTGACTTGCTTCAGATTAGCTCTAAGATCCATGCAGACTTTGTGTTTGGAACCCAGAAGGGCCCGCAGCATAGCGTCAGCAGACATACGGACTCTACGCAGGGGTGGCCTCTTGAATTTGCCCCTCAGGTCAAACAGTTTCTGGCTCAAATCTTCAAGCTACAGACAGAGATGAAAGTACCCAAATGACAAAACAGAAGCCAAGAATGGCAAAGGAAGGCAAAATCAAATTTTAAACAAAGAGCTGCCAGAGGAATCCAATCCATAGTCAGAAGAGAGTCTGACTAAATGTAAGTATATTGAAACTATAGGAGAAAGTGCTTGTGAAGACAAAGGGAAAATAATGCTAGAAGTGTTACAGAAAATCACACACAGGCAGTTCTGCATCAGCTGAAATAAAATGCATACAAACCCCCTCACTTTGCACCTTAACCTCAAATATCTTCTTTATAATCCTGTGCTTGGAATTTAATTACCTCTTCAAATAAATAAGCTCACAATTAATCTGTATATTATAAAAAAGGCTTCAACTATTTTCCCATGGCTCTTCCTCTGGGTTAACCATTTTGCTTCTGTGTATTTTTTGTAACTAGAATTTTATGTTTATGTGTGTGTGTGTGTGTGTGTGTGTGTGTGTGTGTATACACAAACACACCCCTACCATACTTTGTTTTTTGCTGTTGATGTGGATGCATATATTCTGAGTGTTTTTCAATCCCACTTACATTTACTAGGTATATATATATCTTAAATGTTTACTAAAATGGAAAAGATGAGCAATGAAGATACAGTCTATCTAGGAATATCAGTCCAGCTATTTAATAAAAAATGTTGACTATTCGATTTTTCCAGCTCAAAGTTAGCTGCAATGTCAAAGTAGCCTACACTACTTTGAGCAAAGGAGGGTATCCAAAAAGTCAAGTTGGTAGCCCAAACCATGTGATCAGACTCACCCCTTTTCTACAGTATATGTGTCACAATATTTAAATATTTAAAGGGGTGTGGCTTTAATTGCATCATTCAATTTCATCTATTTTATTTATTATTTTAATCCCATTCCCCATGGCCACAGCAAATTTCAACTCACTTAGACACAAATGATTAGAAATTGCCCACACACTCAATAGAGCATATGTATGGATGCTGTAGTAAAATAATTACCTCTTTGGTAGTTTTCTGTAATTTCATTTCTGTGTCATATCTTTCTTCATCAACTTCCTCTACCTTAGCATGAAGTTTTTTGCACAGTTCCTGTTGAGAAAGAACAAGAGATTATTAAAGAAGGTTGCTCAAACTTACTTAACTTGTTTTTTTAATGCCAACCTTTCTAATTCTTCTGCAGGCTTGTATTTGAGAGATGATATGTCTACTGTAGATGTGCAGTTTCAGAATTACTCAGTCTATTCTACATTGTTATTTTCTTTTGATTCTTAGAATTAAATGAATATCCTCTTCATAAGTCAAGTAAAATTATATAATTATGAAGAAAGAGGTAAAGATGTAGTGAATCGGTCCTGCATCATACTGAGAAAACGTGAAGTATACTAAGCCAACAGTGTCTTTAGGGATGGGATATACATCTGCATAATCCAGGTTGGTAAAGTTTTAGCCTAAACTATTCAGTTTTTGAAATGATGTGACATAGTTAACTGTTACATCAAAACAATTAAGTGCCTAAAGATGTTTTTAAATGTAAGGCTACCTGGCAGATGTATATGCATAGCATGGACTTCTGGGAAGAAAAGTAAGGCATAAATAGAGTTAATAAATGATGAGATTCCTTGTCACTTTGTGGTCAGTATTTTGATTTTTTTTTCAAGGGCATTCAATTTTGTTTGGCTGACGAAGAAGCAGGAGGAGCTGCCTTTCAGAAATTCATTTGCTATTACTTTGAAATTCAAATACCATAAAAAAATAAAATAAAACCACATGCGATCTGAACACACCAGGACATTGGGGAGAATGAATGTAACTACTTTTTAAAAACAGAGGTCCTCAATCAAGGAAAGAAATGGGAGGGAATGTTCCATAAAAATATGAACAACTGTAACCCAATGTCTCACTGTAATTGTACCTATAACCTATAAGCAATAATAGTTGTATCATCTAAAATAAGAGTACACAACTTCGAACACTCCCTCCCTCCAAAGTGTTGTATGTGACATTATATCTTCAAAATTTGCCACTGAATTTTCATATTGGATGCAACCAAAGGGAAAAATATTAAGAAAAAAGAATATTCATGTTAATTCTGGTTAACATAAGCAAAGATGTCCACAGAGATAGTTTTAAAAAATGGCGTCCACAAGATGGAATCAAAGCTCTGCATTATTATTATGTGCTACAGGGCATTGTAATTACCATCTTGACTTTTTAAATTATACCTTGCAGGCACCCCTTATATAAGTTTAATTTTTTCAAATCTAGTTTTGGCTTAATATCACCAATATTTTGGAGTTAGGCTTTTGGTTTGCAGTTCATGGATAAAAATGTTTTGCACATCTTTATATGAAAAGGTTCTTCATCGCTGGTCCTTCCACACTGAGAAGCATCCTCAGCAAACTGTAGTTGGATCAAAATGCAACTTTAGCATATTGATATTATCACATAAATGCTGTCCTGCTCCCTAATACAAGCATATAAATTTCAGTTTGGAGCAATAATCATTTCTCTCCTCCCCATGGACAGTCAGGCCTAAGTCTATAGTATCACATAAGCCAAATTAAGAACATATATTTATATTTGGGGATGATGGGTCTTTACTCTTTATAGTTTGCAAAAACCTAGTGTAGAAAGAAACTAATTGTCAGATCAAATCAGCAAATCAACTAATGCATTACACATGAAGTTAAATGTTCCTGTTCTTGCATATGGGATGAAAGGGATTAATTCATTACCTGAAGTTCTTGCGTGGAACTTGGCAAGTGCAGAGGTGGACAGTGTTCTGCAAGATAATTGGCTTTTTCTTGTTCCTGAGCTGCAGCTTCTTTTTCAAGCTCAGAAGCAGCAATCTGGAGCATAACACTCTGGAAGATAATGTTGGCAGAAAAAGTATTTGTCAAAGAAGAGAAGGGAAGGCATCATAAGGTATATAGTTGTGCCCAAAACAGCAATCACCTCTGCTAACGTCAAAACAAAGGTCAGGGCTTAGAAAGCAGCACAGAACAGAATCAGTATAACAGTCCTTTATCTAAGACAGGGCTCTTCAAACTTGGCCCTTTTATGACCCGTGGACTTCAACTCCCAGACTTCCTCAGCCAGCGTCCTGGCTGAGGAATTCTGGGAGTTGAAGTCCACAAGTCATAAAAGGGCCAAATTTGAAGACCCCTGATCTAAGAAGTAAAACATAGGACAAGAATGGGAGATCTATGGTCTTCCAGATGTTACCAAACTACAGCTCCTCGTAGCCATCAGCACTGGCCGAATTGGCTGGATTGTTACTATTTGTGGTTCAACAAAATATGAAGACCATCATTTCTCCATTCCTATGACTAGAATGTTCATTCATGGTGAGGTTACACCAGGAATTCCCTAACAGCTTTTCACCAAATCACAATCACTCGAGCCTCAATAGAAGGTGTTTAAAATTAAACGTGTAATTATTCATGATTATTAATTATGTTCATCATTACTAGGTATTAAGCACAGTGTCCATTAGTTTAACGAAAGAAATACCCCAATCATGTAGGAAGAGGGAATGAAAGTCTGATCGTAGAAACATAATGAATTTGTCCATAAGCAAGAAGCTTTTCCCAGTCACCAGTAGGTTACTGGTTATAGATTCTTTCCAGAGCATTTCCCTCCTGAGATTAATTTGATATCAGAAATGACCTCAAGAGCAAAATGCATTGTTGGAATGGGGTGCATGGAAGGTAATTGGTATGGGGAGAAACTTCTTCCTCACGTGCTCTCTACTTTTAAATTTGGAGGGAAGGGAATGAAAATCCACTCCTAACACTTGGGCCAGACTTGCATTTAAAATATTGTCAGAACTGTCACTGTCACAACTAACCCGCAGCTCCTATGTTTGAAAATGGGACAGAAACCTTAAACTGTTCAAGAACTTGAAACATTCTTTGCTAATGAGTGACAGCAGATATCTGTATACATGTTTCCTTCTGACTCGGGTGCCCAGACATTGTTTGGGGGGAGTGTTTTGCTAGACATTCCAGAAGAAAAATGCTGCATGGCATAGGACTTATCACAATTACCTTCCTTCTTCTCTAGGGAGAAAGGCAAGAAGACATTAAAGTAGCACAGCTTTTTAAAAATGAGCTCCACAAATAATAAATATATATATACCTTGAGATGCTGCCGGCGGGCGGTGACAGCCCTCTTCTTTTTCTAAAATTAGGAAAAAGAAAAAGAAGACTTTGAGCTTTGACAGTACCTTTTCCATGAGCCACATTTCTGCATGCATATTTCCTAGAAATCTGACTGCCCTTCCCATGTAAACATGTGACAGCAGCCCAAGAATAACATCCATAGTTGAAGTAGAAGATAAACCCACTTCTCTTCTGTCCTGCCACTTGCTATTCAAAATTCTCTTTTCTCAGACTTGCTTTCACAATTCAAAGTGGTGAAAAGATTGAATTATAGTCCCTCACATTCTAGGGACAGGAAATAGTCAAGTCAAAATTTGATTCCTACTAATATGGTCCTATTTCTACTCCTGCTATCTTTTTTTTCAAATTAGCTAATATAGATGTCAAAATGTGTCCTTGAATTGTATTAACTTAAGAACTTTAACTTCTACAAATTGACTACAAATTTAACTTCTACAAAATATATGGCTGCCTACAAATATAGGCAACCATCTATTTGTCTCTAATGGTTTGGTGTAATGGGAAGAGTTACTCGTGTTTTTAATTGCTTCATGTGCTGCTTGTTGCACATTCATTCAAGGGCCTCTTATCCAAGTTAAGAATGTTTAAGAAATCTGATAAGGTCACTTCAGTATGTGGACAGCTTCAGCTCAGAATTTGGCTTTTTGAAAGCCATGGAAAGACTTGGCTCAACTTTAGTAAGCTTTGGTCAAATCTATCATTTGTAGTTGTATGTTTGCTCTAAGATGGCTGTTCCAGAAAGCAATTGTGTAGCACAGTGTTTCTCAACCTGTGGGTCGGGACCCCATTTGGGGTCGAATGACCATTTCACGGGGGTCGCCAAACCATGCTGTCCGCCATTTTTTTCCCTTTTCCCTAGCTGTCCTACTCCCTCTTATTGGTGGCCACACCCACTTGGGGGTCACCACAACATGGGGAACTGTATTATGGGGTCATGGCATTAGAAAGGTTGAGAATCACTGGTGTAGCAGCTCCTCTTGTGTATAGATAATCCAATTCAATAAAGATGAGGTTAAACAAAATGGAAGCTCTGAAGCTATTAAAAAAGAAACCCTGTACATTAAAGAGACTTAATTAGATGCAGATCAAAAGAGCTATATTATATTCTCTGAATTATTAGATTGAGAACTCCTTCGGTTTGAGCTCAGTGTATTATGTTGAGTCTGGAACACAAAAAAAGTTTGCTTATGCCAACCTGGACCACTGGTCCATCTAGTTTAGTAGAGTTGATGTTGGGTTTTCAATTGGAACTTTCCAGCTTCACCTGGAAATGACCAGGATTGAATCATTAGATAGGAAATATTTAGGTCCCAATTTGATTTCCATAAATTCTGTCATATTTGTACCCATATATTTTTCATGTTATACAGAAGTAAAGATAAATTTCCCATAAATTATGCTAATCAGAGACTTAAGTTTTATACTATAATTTTACTTCTCTGGAAGTGAAACAGTACCTTTTTCTGACATTTTGGTCCAAAGGCAGTAATGGTTTAAGGAAATGCCCAGAACTGAATGCCAGGATGTTCCTGTATGCATACATGTGCTCTACCAAAAAATTATGACACTCAAGATAGAGTTTTTCCAATCATTGCTAAAGGCTGGAATTGAATCTACCATTAAACTCTGTCAAAGGAAGCAGCTAATTTACATTCTCTTTATGAAAATGATATATTTTATATTTTTCCTATGAAACCTTTGAGAATACAGCCAAGTATTGTAATATTGATATCTGTCAGCTTGTTTGTATTGACACACTGGTTTTCTTTACTGGTTTAAACTGGATATTTGAATGCAACTTACTATTTGGCATAATCTAGCTCAACTCAAGGTAAGAAGGTTGGGAAGAAAAAAAAAACTAATCATGATTTTTTTTATGTCCCTTTCAACAATTCAATACCTCCTGGTAATACATGACCTTAAAAAAGCTGTTGGTCTAGAATTCTTCAAATAATTTACAAAGCAATTACATAAAGAGAACAAATATCATTAGAGATAGAGCAAATTCTTCTGCTACTAAAAATTTGCTCTGGAAAACAGGATTCCAATTGTAGCAAAAGGAATTGTGGAAGCATAACAGGGAGGGGCGGGCTGCATAGTTTCTAGCAGCTTTTTAGCTGAGCCTGTAAACATCTGCAGATTTAAGCTTGTATTTTTTTTTTAGTTCTTATTAAGGGGAGCGACATGGAAGTTTAAAGAAGGAAGCTTGAACTTGACAATTGATTTCATCCTACGTCCTCCTTTAATAGCTCTTCAGATAGAACTTTGCAAATCCTTCAAGGCTACCCACACAATTTATAAGAAAACAGATTGCCTTGTTACAGTGTCATGATAGTCACCAGGACAGAAGGAACCCGTGAGGTATTGTCTATTTAAGCTTTTTAAGTTGCTTTAATAGCTTTTTATTATATAAGGAAAGCTGTGTTTGGCAGGATGTCTTGTATAACTGTAAAATTATCTGGTCCATGCAGTGTGTGGACCAGAGTGGTCCAAGGAGACTCTTTAAGAGGAACGGCTGCATCATTCTTCCCCTGCTTTACTGCTACAGCTGTTGTTCCTTCACTGGGTGTGCAGTCAACGTACACTGCTTCCAATGGGTCTTGAGAGTGCAGAGTTCTGAGGTATTAAAAGATTTAAAGCAAATCATCTTTGCCTGAAGCATGCCTAGGGGCCTGCTCCAGCTGCTTTCTTGCATGGTAGGGTGAAACAGGCTTGCTTTAGTCCTTAAATTTTTGCTTTGGGACTCCTCAAAGCAAAGCTTTGTTTGTTCATAATTCTTCAGATTACCTGAAAGCTTTACCCCCAAGAACATAAAGGAATACTTTGGAATGGCAAAGCCACCCAGGATCCAGTGTGTGAGTCTCACTCTGAGCAAGGTACTGAGGTCAGCATGCACTCCAAAGAACTACATCAACAGCTTCCCATTTGATACTATGAAATAGCCACTCCAAGAAATGGAAGGAGAGGGGCAGTGGGTGGGAATTTATTGTAATCCAAATATTTTACTTGTACGCTACCTAAAATATCGATTTCATTGTACTTAACAATAAGGAGTCATTATTGAATGTCATTTCCTTTTGTAGGATGTTTCAAAAAGAATATGCAATCTACTATCAGAAATGGGAAGGAGACCTTCCCTTTCTATGACAGTATATCCCCAAAATGGCAGCACTTTATTTAATTTTGGGAGTAAGATCAAATATTCATGTTGGGAACAGTCTCATCTACAGCCCAGCTCTTTTGATCTAGCTATTAAACATAAGCCTTCATCCTGTGTATGTAGCCCTTCCTCTTCATTTGCATAGATTGCTTTCCTGGATTCTGTTTTTTTTTTTAATCACCCAAGAAACTGTGATGCAATGTTGGGAATAGTGATGGCATATCAGCTGGACTTTGGGCCAGAAATAGAGGGTTTTAATCTCAACCCAACAGGATTGACTTTACCCAGATTTAACTAAATTAGTATACAGTGTGTGTGTCTGTTTGTGTGTGTGTTTAGGGGGATGACTGCTAATCTATAATAATAACTATGTAATATAACTGAACTGAACTGGCATTTATAGGAAAAGATGAAGAAGCTAGAAGATCTGTTATAACTATCAACTATTCATTGTCCTTCAGTTTCTTCTATCCAAGAGAAAATTTAGAGAGATCGATGGTATTATCAAGTTAATCATATTCTAATTCCAAATTGAGTCCCCAGAATAATCAACAAAGAAAAACTTACTTCTTCACTGATAGAAAAGAAGAGATGATCACGAGAAGAAAAGAAGGAAGGAGGGGAAAAAAGATTATTAGTTTGAAGGTCTGAAAATGAAATATAGGCACCATTATCAAAAAAAAAACAACCATGAGACATTAAAGGCAACACTGATGAAATATTTCCAAAGGTTACGAGGTAGGAACAAAGAAAGCAGAGGAAAAAGTTCAGTGCAGGAATTCCATAATGGCAAATGCATTTCCCATCTCTATATGAAGATAAGAATTTAAAAAAAAAAAACATTTTCTACATGCCAGAACTTCAGGTGAATTGGGGCACAAAAAATCATTCTTTTTTAAAAAAATTGAGAATTAAAAACATTTGAATCTCTAGTTCATTAAAAAAAAATCCATATTGCAAAGACCAACTTACTCTGACATCTTGGTTTTGTTGATGAGACCCTACAATAAAGCAGAAGGAATAAACTTTTTAATAAAATTGAATTCTTCAGATTAGTTATTATTGGACAATGCTTTAAAAAGAAAACCAGTTGGGTGATAACTACTTCCCTAACTCTTCTCCTTCTGTTGAGTGGAGACATAGTTACCACATCTATAGACAGCAGCCAAATGTGTTGTTAATCATAGCTGGAGAAAACCATGGTCCACTAAGCCTTTCAGAGCATTCCCAAGCTTTATTCCTTTTTTTCCAAGAAATAGGGTCTGCTTGAACAACTGCAAGCACTTTTTTATGGCAGGGGATATTTTCATACAGGGGAGCAAAACATGTTTTGAGATTTAATCCAACATCTTATATTTATTGTAAGGATTCTTGGCCAATGGCATCTTCTGTAGTCAATGTTTGCATACTGATTACTATGGGTGTGCTCACTAGTACAGTGCATAACTATAACTTTAGGCATTACTTGTGTTTGAAGGATATCAGGATGATAAGGTGACATTTTCTCTTATTAGTGAGAAGCTGCTGGTGTCCTTTTCTATGCTAGCTTCAGTCACCATGAGTTGATGAGCAGTTAAAAGTTGCCTAGCAAGGACATCCAGAAGGCGGTGGCAAGACTCCCAAAAGAAATCTTATCCTAAAAATGTGTAGGACCTATCACATAACTGAGAAGAAAGTGCTTCTAAAAATGGCTTGTAAGGAACTGCAGCTGTCTCCTTGGATTGTAGCCTTTTCCAGTCCCAATGACATGAGTTGTGAGGGAGTCACTGTGGCAACAACATGAGCCCAAAGTATGAGTGACAATAAGTTTGACAAAAAATGTCAGCCCACAGCTTGGGAAAGTGGCACAGCTTGGCCTCCCTAAAATGAAAAGCAATCTCTCCCTTCTAATTTACTTTTTTACCAGCAAAGGTGAAAAAGACAGGCAGCCAAGTGTGATAACTTCCCCACTCCCTTTGAACAAGCAGTTTTAGTGTTTGCTGCCTGCAGCCTCAGATTGCTTCTTGAACGGAGCAGCTCTTCAATTTCATTCTGCCCCAAAACTTCTTTTGGAAAAGCAAAAACTGATGCTTTTGGCCAAGATTCCTCATCTGACAAGGCTGGATGAAGAAAAACAAACAAACAAACCCAGGTAAATTTAGCTAGCATGCAGATTTATATTTTTCAATTTTCTTACTTAACATATGAGAGTTAGAATAGAGGAGTGAAGAAGAAATGTAAGCATTTTCCTTCTGAAGTGCCACAAAACCGGCATTCTTGAAAGGAGTGAGAGCAGCAAGAAATGGAGAGGGGAGAATGTCCAATGAAAATATGTGGATTAAAAATGGGGATTGGGGAAGAAACTAGACTTCCTGACAGGTGATGGAGAACAGCTTTTTGATTCAATGCTCATGTTTAGATCCCTTCACTCAGCCAAGCACACAATGTTAATCTAAGCACCAGAGCACTTCTATTCCTTCCTTTTACTCTCTTAAAGGTAAAGTGAGATGAGTAAGAGACATGCAAAGGGCTCACCCAAGTCCCAAGGAGAAAAACAGAGAGCGCTGGTGGGAGGGCAGGTTCGACTGGCAAGCCACAAGCAGTCGGCTTCCTCTGGAGGTATAAATGGGTTTCTTAAACAGCTCAGCAAAAAAAAATCTCTCTTTAAGGGCATGAAGCCTTCCTCAGACCAATAGAATGCAAGGATCCAGAAATACAAATCGCCACCCTCAATTAATGCAGTTAGGTTGGGAAACCCTCAAGGCACCCCGCTCTATCAGGCAATCCTCCTAAAGAGAAATAGGAATGTTTATGGGTGGGTCAGTCACCGATTTTAGGCAACAAGCAGGGAAAATTAATCAGGTGAATGGGAGAGATAAGAAGATACACACACTGAACTTTGCATTAATCGTGCGTATTATCTAAGTTGTACACATCCTTCCTCAAGAAGAGAGAGGTAGATTAGGCCGAACACAGATATTTATTTTTGTTTTTTATTTATTAAATTTTTGCGCCACGCATCTCGCTGTCGAGAGACTCTTACATCACTGTTGGTGTGATCAGTTCTTCATGAAATGTCAGAGTTTCATTCCATACAGCATTAACCTTGCGAACTCTCAGGCTTCCTCCTTCCGTTATATATTCAAGATGGACAATATTTAATATTTATTTGCTACGTATATGTAGGGATGTGGGTTTATACATATGTTGTTCATAGTATGTTTAGGTGTGCGTCATGTATGTGTTTCACTTTGAGAGCGAGCAACTAAATTTCATTTTTGATGTGTGCCATCGTGCCCACAGTATAAAAATGACAATAAACGTTATCTTATCTTATCTTATCTTATCTTATCTTATCTTATCTTATCTTATCTTATGTAACCTCCAGCATAGATCTGTATTAATATCACCATGTACTGTTTTAAGAGGAAATACAGTACTTAGCTTGTTTAGTGCAAAAGGGAATTTTGAATTCCTGACTTCTCAGTTGAAGTGAGTGGGTGCTTTATTAGGGCTGTGCACTTCAGAAATGGTTCTGAGGAAGTACTTCAAATTTTGTTCATGTTCCCAGCAGGAACTGGAGCAAAGGACAGGAGCTCACCCTGCCTTATGGCAGCACTTGATTCTTGAACATGGGCTTGCTCCTTGTCAACCAAGCATCCTAACCACTTGGCCCATCATGCTCCGTAAGCAGTGTTTCTCAACCTTGACAATTTTAAGGCCTGTGGACTTCAACTCCCAGAATTCCACAGCCAGCACTGCTGGCTGTGGAATTCTGGGAGTTGAAGTCCACATGCCTTAAAATTGTCAAGGTTGAGAAACACTGCTCCATAGGCAGGAAATAAATAAATAAATTCACATGGATATTTAAACTTTTGCATTTCTCCTTAAGATTAGAAATGTATTTGCATGTATTCTCAAACTATGTGGGTTGGGGGGGGTACTTTTCTAAAGTTTGCTTTCAATAGTTTATATTAATAATTTGTCTACTTATGCTAAAATTCAATTTTCAAACTACCTCAACATTCAGAACTTGAATATAGGGGTTTTTTTTTAACTGTAAGAGGTTAGTAAAGAAGTATGGCCTTATTTATAAGAAGTAAAAGCTATGAGATTGAGAAAAGCTCCGATATCTGATTTATAATTTCTATTACACCACAAACAGAAAAAAAAGAAGGGCTAATTCATTCATTCTGTTGAGATGCCAGCTATATACTAACATTTTTTTTTCCAGTCCTGCTTGCAGATTGCAGCAGGGAGAAGACAGATGAGCAGATTCTGCACAGCTCCTTCTTGCCAGAAGAGTGGACATTTTTTATATTTGCAATGGAGAAGGGCTCCTTCCTTAATATTTAAATGCCCAAGTTGTACATCACTTGCCTTGTTGGAGACAAGATCGTTTTCTTTTGCCACCTGCTGGTAGAGCTGCAGCCAAAACAGCAGCAGAAGACAGTCAATCCAGCTAATGCCAACAGATCCTTGTGGAAAGGAATCAACAGGTATGGGTGAGAATAGAACCTCAGGCCACAGGAGTTAGGACTATTTCCACATGCACACCTTCTTCCCAGTGTTAGCGTTTCTTGAACCACCCACCTCTTGCCCCCAGAACCTGAAGCTTCCGAGGAGATGGAGCAAAGCCAGCATGAATAAAGTATGCACTCAGAATGCATGAAACTGTTGATATACTGTGACATCCCCCTAGTATGGACCATAGAACAAGATTAACACATGTGAACAGCATCACCATTATGTAAAACTGCCCCAGGTATGTGCAGGAACCTACAAGAGAGTGATTCATGGTAGAAAATTGGAAGATTCCACTATAGATGGCTCTGCAGCTCTAGTAGTTTCTCTAAAAAACATATTCATCTATTTTTGAAGCATCCAGGAGGTGGTGCTGGGTGACTATCGTTTGACACCTAGGGCACTAACCCTATGATGATGATTCTATCTTGCCCTCTATATGATTCTATCTTGTCCTCTATGCTGTTTAGCATCTAAATGGAGAGAAGGATGAGGAGTGACATGATAGCAATGTTCCAATACCTCAGGGGTTGCCACAAAGAAGAGGGAGTCAAGCTATTCCAAAGCACCTGAAGGCAGGACAAGAAGCAATGGATGGAAACTAAAGAGAAGCAACTAGAACTAAGGAGAAATTTTCTGACAGATAGAACAGTTAATCAGTGGAACAACCTGCCTCCAGAAGTTGTGAATGCTCCAACACTGGAAGTTTTTAAGAAGAGACTGGACAGCCATTTTTCTGAAATGGGTATAGGGTTTCCTGCCTCAGCATGAGGTTGGACTAGAAGATCTCCAAGGTTCCTTCCAATTCTATTATTATTGTTGTTGTTGTTGTTGTTAAATGAAACCTGTGGGTGAGATCATGTAGAATGCTGAATGGGGTGCCATTAGAATGCTGATGACAGCCAGCCTCACTGCTACCTTGACCTCCAGTGGTCACTCCCTCTTGACTACTGCAAGATGCCTTCCATGGGAATATTCCTGAAATATGTCCTAGAATCACACTTGGAATAATATGCAGTGAAAGATATTGAGACTATAGGATGCCTGAAACAATAGATCTTCAATGAAAATCTGAACACAGATTAAGGTGCTAATATTGATCTTTAAAGCAATGATGCTTAGGCCTGACTAAGCCTGACTCTGAACCTTTTCAGCTATTTACGTCAGCAAGAAATTCTTTTGAGTATCTTTATTGCTAGAACTCGTGTATCTGGCAGTGGAAGAAGCCTTTCTCCTATGTGGCTCCTAGGCTATAAAATACCCTCCACAAGGGAGTACATTTGTCACTCTCATCCCTACCCCCATTTTTCCAGTATTCAGGAAAGTAGCAAAATTTGATCTCTTACACAAGTTATTGACTGAACTGATTTAAATGACACTGATTTTTACATTTAACATATATTTATTTATTAAATTTACTTCCTGCCCATCCCACTGCAATGGTGCTTTTGTGTTTTACAATTTGCACTTTAATTGTCTTAGCCCATGCAAATGTATCGGTAGAAAGGTAGGATGCAAATTTAATATAATAAAATGAAGGGATATTCTCCAGAAAAAGCAGGAGTCACATAATTAAAGTCAGCACCTACACAATCTATAAGGTGCAGGAGCTCGCCCATACTCCACTTTTTCCTCCTCACTTTTTCCTCCAAGTAGTCAGTACTTGAAGTGAAATGTAAAAGGGGAGGAGAATGCCTAGAGAAGCACCTTTGGTTGCATGAATAGTATAAGATATAAATATAATAAAACTCTAGTTCTCTCTGGAAACAATTATATAACTTAGAAAACTAATGTGGAATAATAAACAATCACTAGAATAATGATGTGTCTGCATAATTACTGGAATAATGCTGTGTTAGTAGTATGTGACTAACCTAATGCGCATTGCACTTGGATACAATGTATATAGCAAACTCTCTCCATTGTATACCTGTGAGAAACGAACTTAATGTATTACAATGTGTATTTCAATGTGTATTTCTTTGTTCCTGAGAAAAGGGAAGTATAAAACTGAAGTCTGAACTCGCCCTCGGGGTTCAGAATTGCTAGTTGCTATTGCTTTTGAACCTGCGCAATAAATCTCTCTGCTAAAACCCTCTGGAATTCGTAAGAGTCCTTTTGTTTTCCACAAAAAAACTATAGAATGCCATATCTAATTTAAAAAAAGATTCAACTCTTTTTTCTGTGCTAAATGGAATTTATGGGGAAACTCAACTTTAAAAACTGGAGAAGAAGGAGGAGGAGGAGGAGGAGGAGGAGGAGGAGGAGGAGGAGGAGGAGGAGGAGGAGGAGGAGGAGGAGGAGGAGGAGGAGGAGGAGGAGGAGGGGAGATATTGACTTTGGACTAATTGATAGATGATGAAGACGAATTTTAACATATTTGTTAAGAAACAAATACAATCTCCCAGGTGTAACTCAATGGCAATATTTATAGTTATAACATTTGTTAAGTACATTCTGAGACACTAGAACAACATGTTAAATCCTCTAAAACCATGAGTTTCTATGGATACTTGTTATCAATAAATTAATGTGATGTGGAATTGTTAAGACATGAATGGAATAATGGAATTAGAGGTTTCCATGTTGCCTAGAAAATGGGACAGTATTTTTACTTTCATAGCAAGAATGTCAATGGACCTCCAATAACAACTTATGCAACAAAAAAATAAGATTTAGAATGTATTGGGCTCCATTACATTTATATAGAAAAGGACTGACAAAAACAGAATTATGTTGGAGATGTAATAAAGATCATGCTTCTTTGAAACACATGTTTTTGCAATATCCTACACTTACCTAGTTTGGAGTTTTTTAAAAATTGGATTATATAAATATAGTTGTGCGACAAAAACAAAAATTTCAGATTATAATATTTTTTGAACTATATCCCTAGTACTTGAAATCTGATAACCAGACAATATAAATGGCTATACTATCATGCCCTTACCATAGCCAAAAGAGTGAGATTGCAGCATTGAAAAGATAAAGGTATGGCTCATTTCGACCAATGGATTGAAGAGTTGATTGCACTTGCCATTTATGAGCAGATTGCCTATTGATCTGGGCTTTGTATGGACAAATATAATGAACTGTGG